GGGGGGGGGGGGGGGGGGGGGGGGGGAGTGATTGACTCTTACATTGGCAGAATGTCTACAAAAATTGTAATGTTAGCTGCAGTAAAAAATAATGACAATTTTCTGCACATATATAGCAACACAAGTGATTCAATTAAAATTTATGTTCTGCCATTGAAAGAGTAAATGTTTACGACAGATTCCTTGTTTCATTGTGAAAACCCTAATTCCGTTTTTCTTACGGTATGTTTAAATCTAGAAAAATACAGTCTGTTTCTTCTATCGATACGCTGCTCGAACGTCCTCTCTAATTTCTGGATAAAAATACAATTTGTCCCTTAGTCGAGCGCAGTGGCTCTTAAATAACATCTGCATAGAATATCACCTACCTAAACATTTTGGCTAGATCATTGTACGAGATTTCCGAATTTCAGAATCTAGAGTGGAGAGAGAATGAAGTTCTCGATTTCTGGCGAAGAATGTATGTTACTGACCAGTCTGTTAAGTAATGGAAAAGTGAAGTATCGTTAACTGCAATTGTTAAATGTAAAGCTGACTCTTTCCTCGAATAGAAATCCTTAAATGTAAATACATTATTTCTTCCATAGCGTCGCGTTTGTACTCCTACTGTCTCGCTATAGTACGGAGAAAATACTCTTTGTGCCAAACATAAATTATGTTCCAAAACGGTCAATTATTTAAGTAACGAGCTTTCAGTTTTCTTGGTAACTCGGTCTGTTCACTTACGCCTCTTTTGTTTCAAATTATGGCGGTAGTCTATCGGTTCATCTTCATCTAAACAAAAGAAAAATTCGACGGCTGTGATAAGACAATTTATATATTTTTGGGAAATTAATCACCTTCGCCTTCATCTTCTTCTTCGACTAAGTGAATGTCATTATTCTTCTGTTGAGGTTCTTTGCCATAATCTACCACCTCATACTGATCGTCACCAGCCTCTATTTTGTCCGCACTTTCTTGAAAACTGAAAATAATTAACAAATATGTTAGTGCAAACCTCAAATATTATGCTATTTTTATTATAAAATTTTAAATAAGTTATAAAATATAAATATTCCTCAAGAAACTAATAATAAATGATTAGTAATTAGTAGAGAACATTTTTCAAGAATAGTGAAAGTATTGATGTAACAAATGCATACCCAGAAAGTCGAAGGTGATTGCCTTCATCCCCAATTTCTTGAATGCCAGGAACAACATTGAGCCAGCCCCGCCTGTCAGGATGATGTTCTTCATTTCTTCTACCTTGAAATTGAGCAGCTAAATTGCCGTTTTCATCCTCGATCTCTTTGCTCTCCGCGTCCTTTTTCTTTTTGGGCTCGTTCTTTATTCTCGCCGCGGTGTTGTCCTGTTTTTCCTCACGATTTTCCAATTTCTGATCGATCAGCACCGGAATTGGCAGTACACCCACTGGAAGTTTGGACTTCAACAGTGGTTTAGCGGCTGGGAGTGACTTCACCACGGCTGTAGACAACGGATTAAGGTTGTTTGCAGTCGTTGAAGTCTCCAATCTCACTGCTGGAATTGATTTCATCGAGCTGCTTGCCACTGTGCTCTGAAAAATTGATTTATTTTTGTTAATAATTTAATAATCCGGGTTAAAGAAAATTCTCTGTAAATTTATAATTATTGATTTATATTATGCCGATATTACAGGATAAAAGTGTGCTCTATCAAGTTTTGAAACATTTTCTAATAAAATGTTCTGTGATTATTTAACTAATATATAATCTCAACTTAACTAGTCTAAACTAAAACTATTAAATGCATCACATTGTAAAACACCAACTTACCTGCAAGAACCCTCTTGTGGAGAAGGATAGGTGCTTTTCAAATCTAGGCCTCTTTCTCGAAGCTACGAAAGCGCATTACTATGGAAGTTTGCTTTAAGCATGCTACTTGGCGAAGACAAAACCACCTGACAGAAGTCAAACTACAAACAGTATTAGAAGGGAAGACATACAAGTTTCTAAAGACGAAGAATCTCCAAAATTGTCTTTAACGCTAGTTGAAAATTTAAACAAAGAACTCCTGAATATAAATCCTTTTATTTAACAGTAATGGAACAAGCAACTGTGAAGTAGTTTCATTTAACAAGAAAGCAAAAGCACGAGATTTAAATTAATTTTAATATTTAACAATTGAATTGTACTTTATAATTAATTACTTCCATTTTTTTAATTTGCAGACTAGAAAAATGGAAGCAGATTTTAGTTTAGTTATGTTGTGCAAGGGTGCCAGAAAAAATGCAAGCAATTCAAAATAATAACAATTTATTAAATGCATTGATTAACACGAACATACAGGCACATTCAGTACAGCTTGCAAGCTACATGTGTAGAATTCTTTCATCTTTTTCCACTCAAATTAGTTTCTTGATAGACTACTGTATTCTCTTCCACAGATATACAAATAAGTAAATATGATAGCACGAATTAAAATGAGAAAAAAATTGACATTTACACAATTACTAAAATAATTGTGCGAAAATGATTGTAAATTATTCTTTGTTAGCAAGTGTGCCTAAAATATTGCACTTGATCAAATAATTAATTAAAAAAGCTATGTAAATATAAAAAGTGTTAACAATTTAGCCATTAAAATAATATAAGGGCGTGTTAGTCAATTTTCTTTACATCAATGATCGATATAGACAAATCAATGGATCTTTTGATGGTACAACTTTTCGAAAAATACATCAGAAATTTCATCGAGACAATACATAACAAAGGACAAGGCTGATTTGTCCATAGACACATATAAATACTTGTATACATAACTCTCATGATTTTCACAGATTTTTACAATATTCACACTCTTGGCACTAGTTGTCTTCTTGTTACTTCACTCAACTATAAAATGCTTGATAACAAGGCAACTCTCGCATCACATCTTAAAAATAAATCGTGTTACATTGAGAAAACAAAAGAGAAAAAATTAATAGTTAAGTTGAGATGTCATGCAATAAATCTCTTTAATATGTATTCTCTGTGTAATACTCTTTGTTACATGTACAACCTTTTGACCACTTTAATAGTAATACCATTAATGCCTTTCGCAGGACAAGTTATTTGTTTTGAGCACCACTACTGTATACTTAATCCACTATAGATTTTTTTAGCAGTGTGAAGAGAAACTGGTTCCATTGAGTCCCCCGAACTATTTGGACCAGTTCAAAATTTATCTACAGCACCCAGTACATACCATGCAAATAATGTGCATGTGTGAACATTACCAGTTACACCAAAGGAATCTCTGATATCTCCGCAAGGCATGAACAATTATGGTGCTTCAAGGCACTTTTGTCAATCCTTTGCAGCTCATGTCATAAATATTGCTCTTATCTGCTTCCATCAGGAGCATAATATAGAGGGTTACCATAAGTTAGCTAAGATAAATTTCGAATTCTTGGCGAAAAATTAACTTCGATATTTAAAAAAGAGTATTTTCATAAATGAACCACTTATCCTTTTTCAAATTCAAATTCATTTAAAACTCCCGGGCTTCCTAAGGCCAATCGTGAACGTCTGGTAACCTTAGTAACATTGTGTCATTCAGAAGCAATCACAGTGAATCTGTGTTAGCACGTAAGCTTTTATAAAAACACTTGACTCATAAAGTTGAAATATTAATTATGTATCCTTATCTAACAAATGATTAACATCATAACTCGTCTCAGTAGGAAAATTACTAAGGCCTTGCACACATAACCTCTCAATTGAATTCTTCAACTCAACAATTCAAAATGTCCCTAGCTGTCTCATAGCATTTGCTTTAACCCGCAGTTTTTCTCAGTTTCTTTACAATCACAGCTTTTCCTTCGTGTTAATCAGGAGAGTTATTACTCTTTAACGAAGGAACCTCAAGGTTTGGCGAGTTTGACGATACTTTCTTATCAACGACGTTCTTATTATTTTGATTGGGTGGTGGTATCACTTGTTTTAGCTGTTCCTCATCAGGGTTTTCATTCTTTTCATTTTTAGCCAGATCATCGACCGCTAAAGGTTGGTCGTCTAGTTTGTTTTGGCTCTTCAATTGCAAACCATAAAGCAATGGCATCAGCAACGAGTCTTGCGACTCTCCATCCTTTCCTTCATTCGCGCCAACGGGGACGATGTTTCCATTCTTCTGAGCGAAACGAATGTTGTTCTCGTTCCCGTCCTCGTTCGCTAGTTGGATACCTGATTCTAGGGGGTCTCCGATTGCGTGATGATTACGAGGTGCGTGTAGGGGCTGCGGAGTTTTATCATTGTTGTTCGGTGGACTTACCTGTTGCTGTTGAGATGACATGATCGCAGGTTTTGCCCCCTGTTGTTCTGTCCTCTGCGAGTTATTTATAGATTTCTGGCAACAGAAAAATACCAAGGTTCGTTGAAATGGATCACGCTATGGTAAATGTCAGTCTTCAACTCTGCGACAAGATAAAGAAACAAAAATGTCCTCATACCCGGGCTCTCTCCACTTCGTGTGTCAACTGAAACACTTCTTTCTTGAGATGCTGGATAGTGCTATCTGTATTGTCAGTGCTTTTCAATAAATCTTTGTACTTCGCCTCGAGCTTTGTCTTCTCTGTCTCCATTTCCAGGTACTTGTTCTTCAAATCCTCTAAGGCCCTGCTCTTCTCCTCTTTCTCTTCTTTCAATTGCTTTATGTGGGTACGTAAGTTCTGAAGAGTTGTCTCCAGCTTGTTCATGTTCTCCAAGGCTTGCGTCTCCTGTTTCTTGCACCCTTCCTTTAAATCCTGGTGCTCCGATTGCAGCATCTTGTAGGTCTGCTGCAAAGATTCGAATTTTTGCATCGCTTCTCTGCCATCTTTGTCGCGAAGATCCTTCTCTCTGGAGGCACGCTGCTGAAGTTCTTGTTTCACTGCTGCATTTGATGTCTTCTCCTCAGCCAGGGACTTTTCCAAACGGGTTTTATACTCGAATATAACTGGAAATGAATCAAAAGCGACTGTCATCGCATCTGGCAAGTACTACAAATTTAAATGTGATCCAAAATGATGGAGTACCTTGGAGTTGAGCAGCGAGTGCACCTTGCTGATGAGTACATTGGATTTCACGTTCTCGAAGCCTGGCCATTTCCAAGGTGGCGGCACGGTAGAGGAACACCAGAAGAACAACTACCACCCCGCAACCCACATATAGGGCCAGGCGGCCACCCCGGCCCCTGCCAAGTCGGGAACCACTCATTTCTATAAATGAAAGTGTAACAGCTTCATTGAGTCATTTTACTACAATTTTTTAGCAAGTTGAAAATAATTATACTTAAATTCTTCTAATGCTTTCACTGTTGTATGTTTTCAGTTATTTATTTGTGTTGTAAACACGTGAAAATTCGCAGTCTAAGTTATTCTTACGTTTTATGAGAGAATATGTCTTTATCAAAAACATGCTGATGTCTCAAAATCTTGCAGGTGTAAAGGAACTTCGTCGACAGACTGTACAGGCAGCAAGAAGTCTAATAGCCATTAATCTTCCTCGAAACTAAGGACAGGAACCAATAACTGGTAATGGATTTCTGCGGACGGTAACGTTCCATAAAAATCTGAGCAAAGTAAATAGCAGCCAGCGAAAACGGAAACGAAGAATTTCAAAGAAGAATCGTGCAAACGGTCTCTATGGAGCCAGCGCCTGAAAAATGAACGGCTCGTTCGAGTAGAAACGAACGGGAATCCTTTTGTTCGAGGTGAAAACGAAGAA